TACAATAAAAAAACTAAAGCTTTGTTAGCTGTATAGAAATTGCAGGGGAGGTGGAGCTTGAATGGAGACAGGGATACCAAGGGGAGACCAGGAGGAGGCTAACTACAATGGTCCAGGCAAGAGGAGACAGAGGCTGGAATCAGAGTGGTGGTTGTGGAGGAGGAGGGACTGGGTGGATTCCAGCTGAATTCTGAGGTTGAGCCAAAAAGACTGCTGCAAGATTATATATGGAGTCTGAGAGAAAGCAGAGTCAGGATTTTTGGCCTGAGAGAAGGGAAGGAGTTAGTTCTTCTCTGGCAAGCTGGCTTCAGAAGTCTGAGTGCATCCACATCTCTGACTGCTCAGACAGTAGGGTACTAGTCTGCGCTTAGGCCTTAGGAAGTCAATAGCACTCACTTTCTACTTCTTGGGACATTTACCCTTGAAGCCCAACCACCATACAGGAAAGATGTTCAAGCCACCTGTGGTTTCCTGCTGAGCACCCCAGCTGAGATCTCAGACAGCTAGTGTCTACTGCCAGACTTGTGAGTAGAGACGCCTATGGAAGATTCCACTCCAAGCTTCTGCCAACTGTACTCATGGAGGAAAAGTGCCAGCATGACAACATAGCTGCTGTGGTTTTAAGCCACTAAATCAGGGTGACTCACTATCTTGCAGTGAATAAATGGGGCACTTAGGTAACTAACTGCGAGGAATTAACTCATGAGGCACAATCTTTTCCAACCACTGTCTCCCAGCTGGGGATGTTCTGCCTGGTAATGAGGTCTTCTTTGTGACATCTTAGCCCTATCTGCTCAGCCTCATCTGGGGACAAGAATGACACTGCTTCAATACTTAAGGCTGACTGGTGTTTTCTCTGATAACCTAGTGGTCACATCTACTGAAAATCATGGGTCTCACTATCACCATATGTGAAAAAGCTATGCAGGACTCAGAGGATGACATAGCTGTAACAGTATTGCTCTCTCCTGGCTGTTTCCTCTTCCTTTCCACACCCAGGAGAGTTACCATCCTGTCCATAAGGTCAATGCAAGCAGTGCATTGCACCCACAAGTGAGGTATGTCCCCTCCAGATCAGATCATGCTGTTGCTGATGCAAGCCCTTGGGCAGGCCTTCCCCTCCCAGAAATCTTGGAGGTGTAACCGCATAGAAACTATATTTCTTTAGTATGACCTTTTCTCCTTTCTTTCCTTTAGATCCAAATTGGCCTCATCCAGCACCCTGACTCACCTGCTTCCTCCCTTTCATGTGCACTCCCTTAATCATTAAGCCCTCAGGACCATGAAGTTCTGACCAGCACCACATAATCTTAGGAACAAACCTAGGGTCTTTTGATTTCAGATATTGAGTTTGGTCAAACTAGAGATAACATTGAGGTCTCAATTGTGTTTCAGCTTCAGACCCAGAAAACACTGAAACCAGATGAAGTGATGCATAGCTGACATCAGGACCAGGTGCACTGATCAACTACCCTCTACCACAGCACCAACCAATCAGTGGAGACCACAACCCCAACCACCACCCTAGCTTCCTTAGTCACCATGACCAAGGGTCTCCTCCCTTTATAACACATCCCCTGGAAGCCATCAAGGGGAGCAAGGTCTTTGAGCATTCGTGGTCCTCTGGCTGTGGGCCACTTCCTAAAATTAACCCTTGCTTTCTTTGCTACAAACTCCTGTTCATGTATTATTGGGTTTTAGCATGCCCAAACAGACCCCTTTAGTCTAGTTACAGAGGCCTGTGTTGGAGTGGACTAGTCCATCAGCCTCCACTGAGCAGAGCCCCTGCCTATCACACTGGACACGAAAGAAATAAATGAAGTTGTTTGAACCTTTGAGACTGGTGGAGGGAAGGGTTTGTCATAGATTGAATGTGCAACCCCAAAATCCATGAAATCAAAGCCCTAACATCCCTTGTGGCTGTATTTGGAGATGAGTTTCTAAGGAAGTAATTAGGGTGTGATGTCTTAAGGGTGAGGCTCTCATTCCATAGGGTTCACGTCCTCATAAGAAGAGACATCAGAGTTCACTTTTGTCTTCTTCTCTTCTCTCTGTACATGAACCAAGAAAAGGCCATGTGAAGCCATAGGGAGAAGGAGGCCATCTGCAAGTCAGTAAGAGGGCCCTCACCAGAAACCAAATGGATCAGCACCTTGACATTGAATTTCTTGTCTTGAGAACTATGAGATAGAAATTGTTGTGACATTTGTTATGGCAGCTCAAGCTGACTGAGACAAGGGTTATTTGTTTCAGCAACATGACCTCACTGATCCTGAATGTTATAACAGCAAGAGAAGTTCATATATCTCAAGCTGAGAAGGAAAGTATACCAGTGAGCCATGTAGCCTGCAAGGGCAGTGTTGCAGGCAGAGGAACAGTAGGTGCTAAATCTTCTCGGTAAGGTAGGGTTTTCAAGAAACAGCAAGAAAAGGGGTTTCTCTCTTCTCAGTACAAGCTAGAATTGGTTTTAGGGGGAATTTGGGGCTGGCTCCCCTTCCCCCTTCTCATCAGCGGCCGGAGGAGGCCACTCTGCTCTGAAATGCCTGTGGGAAGGCATAGCTCTCTCTCTCTGCTCCTTGGTGGTTCACCTCTGAGTCTACCTGAGACCCCAGACCACAGCACAGCCAGGGGGCCAGCATGCTGCACTGCTGAGGTCTCTTGACTCCCAGCTATCCTGGGCAATGGCTCTGCATCCAGGCTGCACCCTCTGCTGCTGGGCACCACATCTTTTCCCTCCCTTCTGACTCCATACCCCTGCAGCCCCCTTGTGACTATCTGGATACCTGTCTCTGTAATTCTCAGCTTATGGGAGCTGGAGTGGGAGGGGGCTACCTCTTTTTGCCACTTCACCCCCAATCCACCTGTCTTCTGATTCAATAGCCCAGGGTCAATGACCTAGGGACAAAATACTGGCCTCCCCTTGAAGTCATCCCCAAATACAGCAGGCCTCTTGCCCCTCAGATTCCCACCACTTTCTCTTAATGAGGGCCGGGGCATGCAGGGCCTGGTAGGGCTGGCTCACACTGAGGACTGAAGATGAAGCCAACTCAGAGCCTTTTCTCATCAGTGCTGACCTTTGGCACAGTTGCTGAGCCCTGTAAGGAGCTGAGCAATTTATGACAGTTATGACACCTATCCATGCCACTCTGGCATGGGATTCATGCCAGAATCAAGAAGCAGAGCAGCTGTCCACCCCTGCCTGGTCCACAGGACCCTCATAAGCACATGGTAGAGGGGTCTCACTTACCACTCTGGGACAAGGCAGGGGAGCCAAGTCTGTTAAGACCTCAGGAACACTGCTTGCACTAGTTTAGGGTAGAGTCTGAGCTTTCCCACTTGGAGTCCCTGCTGGATCTGTCTCCCCAGGAGCCCAAGTAAAAACCACCACAGACCTAAGTGAGCACCATAGCCACCTTTTGGCCTCAGGATCCCACTCTGGAACCCACCCAGAACAACACCTTGCACCAAAATGAATGTCAGCACCAAGTGTAACAGTTGAAAATGTGGGAACATCCATCAACCCTTGCTGGGAGCTTCCTAATGTATCACAGGACAGAGAGACTACTCTGTGTAGTCTGTATCAGAACATGTATATAAGCGATGGAAAACATAACGGATGTGGCTTCACGGGCAGTGCAGGCTCCTTTGGGACTGCCTGCTTCTTTTCGGCAGACTCCCCTCCTCATAGCTCCAAAACAACTGCAGAGCCTCCAGACAGTGGCCTCTTGGGGGCCATTCTGAAAGTCAGCTCTCGTCAGTGCACATCCAGGCAGGAAATAGGGAAGAAATAGGAAGACAAACCTTAGCTAGTACCTGCGATGTCCAGACAGGTCACACTGCACATTGCAGAAGGCTAGAGGTCAGATTTTAACTGGCTTGGGACATGTGGGCTCTGCTGGTGAGAGAGATATGGAGGCTGGGGCCATTCAGAGCAGGTGGATGTACATTGAGCCCCACCTGAGAGCTCCCACCAACTATTATCCTTTGGGAACAGGGCTGAGGGGGGCGAAAAATATGGCATCTTTTTTATCTAACTGCTTTGACAGTGACAGGTTAGGGGACTGTGATGGCTCAAAGGTGTCGGCCCATGCCTGGTACTCTCCACCCAAGAGTGGGGTCTAACTGCCTCCCATGTTGATCTACAGTGGCCCAGTATAACTTCCTGGGGCCTGAAAGGGAAGGTTTGTACTTGGGATTCTCACTGTGAAAACCAGCTACCCTGTGCAAGGAGGCCCAGGCCATTCAATTTGCTACCACCCTGTGAAGTCTCTGACAGCCAGCAGCGACCTCCACATGTAAGCCAGCCCACCAGACTTCATATGACCCAAAGCTAGCCACCAGCTGACTACAGCCACCATGGGGAGGGCTCCCCATGAGAGGCTCCCTTGAGACCGGCCCTCCTGAGCCCTGGTTGCCAGAGGTCCTAGTGTTAATTCAAGGGACTGTAGTTTTAGACCCCTATGCTTGAGGTTTTGTTATGCAGGGACTGAAAACTGAGCCAGTGATTTTTACCTTTGCAATTTTCAGTATTAGAATTCTTTATTTCACAGCCTTCACCACAACTTTACAATTAATGGATAGAGCACTCAGCTAGGTTCCTTTGTGTGGGTAACTGGTCCTATGGAAGAAGATTCATGTCTGTGTTGCTAATAATGTTGAGAATTTGGTTGTCCTCTTCCTTTTTTGCTGTGCAAAACCAGACATGCTTAAAATGTCCCCAGTCTCTTTAAAGGTCCCTGGCTAGAGCAGGGCTGTAGTTAGATTTGTAAACCTCAGTGGTGTTTCAAGGAAGCCTATCTATAAAAGCTGCTACAGCTGAGCTCCCCAGGACAGGTCACTCCCAGCCTTCAGAATCAGGAAGGCATCCTGAGGAATTCCTAAACCCAGAAGCTTACTTCACTGTCCAATCTCAACTTGAACACATGTCAAGGTGTAGGCAGCCAGCTGAATGGTGGGCTTGGTCCTCTCAGTGTGGAGGGCATCTCTGGACTGGGCCTTAGTCATCCTGGGACATAGGCCATGGCCTGTCTGGGCATTTTAGTGGCAGGCAGGGTCTTCCCTGGGTTCAGTGTGTGCACCATCACCTGGGCCCAGGGTGAGCAGGCAAGGCTGCTGGGGGTCCAGTGGTCCTTGCCCATGCTGCAGGCTATATCAGCCAGCTCTCTGGTACTCTCACCAAGGTCTCTGCAGGGAAAAGACGTGTGAGCTGGGGGAAGAGCAAGGACCCCATTTAACTCCAACCCTGCTCCCCTGCCTGGCACCCAGGTCCCCAAGCCTAAGGAGGCCCTTCCATCAGTGCCTTGCCCTAAGCTGGAGTCCCAGGCCCAGGATTCAAGAGGCCCAGGACTTGGGGACCTTGCCTCCATAGGGCTGTTCCAAGGGTTGGGAGTGGGATGGTTCCCAGGGCTATGTCAAGGAAGAGAGCTTATTCAAAGTGTGTGAAAACCACAGAAGTCAGGCTGTCTCCCTGGGCCAGGACACTGAAGGACCATCCAAGGAGACACTTTGCCTCCTGCCAGGCTATCTTCTGGGGTCTGGTGGCTGGATCACCCACCTTCTACATCTTCAGTTCCCTGAGGCTACCCCACTCCTCAAACCACAAACTAAGACATTCTCCAGGCTGATCAGACCTTGGCCAGCTGACTCTGTCACCTGGCTCACCCTGCCTTCCCCCTACCTGCCTGAGAGAAGCCATGTTGTTCCACCTTGAGCCCTCTGCAGGGCTGCTCCCTCCCGTAAGATGCTGTCTCTCTCCTTTCCTGAAACTCAGGCTCTCCCAATCTGTTCATTTCAGGCATTACCTCCTCTAAGAAGCCTTCCTGATCTCTGTTCCCATCCACACCTAATTCTCAGAAAAGCTATAGGAAGTAGTAGGTTAAGAATAGTATAGGAAATGGAGAAGCTGAAAAACTTATATGTATGACTTATGGGCATGAACTAAGGGGAGGAAATGCTGGTGGGCAGGGGTTGCAGGGCAGAGGGGAATGAAAAGGGGGATGGGAGAACTGTAATAGGGTAATCAATAAAATATATTTTTAAAAAGATTTTATTTATTTATTTATTTTTGGACAAAAGGGAAAAAAAGGGAGAAAGAGAGGGAGACAAATGGCAATGTGTGGTTGCATCTCATACACCCCACACCGGGAAACCTGGCCTGCAACCCAGGCATGTGCCCTGACTGAGCCAGCGACTCTTTCATTTGCAGTCTGGTACTCGATCCATGGAGCCACACCAGCCAGGGTAAATATACTTTGTTTTAAAAAAGTGCTTACCACTAAGGTTAGAGCAGGGAATATCTGAAAGGGCTTGGAATAGCACCTGACATGTTTTGAGTCCTGAGAAGTATTTATGTAATAAATGCAAGGTCAAGGGGCAAACCATGTCTTGCTGATGACACCATTTGGTGGGAGAATAGAGGCACCTGGACCTTGCCTAGTATGACACATTCAGAGGCCTTGAGGACCTTGCCTCCTCCATCAAGCTGTGAAGCCCTGGGCAGAAGCCATCTTCTCTGGGTCCCCATTGAGCTGGGCTCACAGCTGGGGCCTAGGAGATGTATAGGAGAGCTCAGGGGCAGTGCTCTGACCCCAGTGTTCCCTCAGCCTCATCTTGTACTTTCTGCCTTGCACTGCTGACTAAAGCTTACTCTGGTGCCCCCAGGTTGTCCTCAGAGAAGCTGGCCACACATTTTTCTTCACAGTTCTGTGCTGGCCAACAGAGGGAGAGAGAACAAGCCCCCCAAGTTTAATAGAAGGTGTATATGGTGCAGACACAGGCCCACTGCTGTCCTTCTGGAAGATCCAGAGCCTCATTGCAGCTAATGAAGGCCCTGCAGCAGCTGTGTAGCCTCATCCAGGACTCCAGTTACTGGGACAGGCAGTAACTCTTTCCCTCATTCCACTGACATGCTTCCCAACTGAAACTCAGAACCATCTGACATAGGGCTATACTGAGGAGGGTCTGTCACCTTGCATGGGAAAAAGGGGCTACTTGGAAGGAAATCTGACTGTATAAAAAGGAAAGGCATGAGCAAGAGCACCATAACATGACTAAAACAAAAAGGAAAATACTTGCAGCCAGCTCTTGAATGAGGCTCATTTCCACACAGCATACAGAGCTCCTAGAATTTATTAGAAAAATGCCAGCAGGCTATTCAGCACAACAAACACAAAATGACTAAAACCAGGAATGCAACTGGTAAGTAAAGGGCTGAAGAAAATGCTCTTCTTCACTATTAATCATAGAAATGGAATGAAATACTGATGAAAACTACCTGTGAAAATGATACTTGCTAAGTCAATGAGTAGAACTCAGCACTAACACTCAGCGATGCACAGCTATGAAAATGTCGCCACTCACTTGTGCAGGGTCTCTGAAGAAAGAATTTGGTAATAAAAATATTGAGACTATTTGGTCTAAACAGTCTGTTCCTAGGATCACCCCAAAATTTCAAGAAAAGTAGCTTTAATCACCAACATTTACCAAAACCAGAGCATTTACCAAAACCAGAGTCAGGGAGGGTCTTACAAACACTGGAGCAAAACTCTGGGGCTCTCTGACCACCAGGGCAACATGACAGCCTGTCACATCACATGGAAAGGACATGAAGCAGCAGGCATGAAGCACCACCATGAGGCAGGCATATGTCTGATGCTTGAGAGAGTTGGGACCAGTTCCTCCCAAAGGGCATGCCCAGAGTGTCACAGGCAGACAGACATGAGACCAGATGGACCCACACCAAGCCCAAACAGGTCTCTACCTCCTCTATTTCCTCATCTGTGCAGCAGGGATAAGAGCAGAATTAATAGCGGCCGGCACTCACTAACCTTGCTCTAATCACTTCCTCAGGGCCAGGGGGTGAGCACTGCCAAGATCCTTACTGTACAAGTGAAAAAACTGAAGCTGGAACAAGTACCTGCCTCCCCAGGAAGTTTCCTGTGGGGACAGACCACCTGCCTCTGTGAGGCAGGCCCTGTTTCTGAATGCTGCCCTCCACCCAACTCCATGGAGGGGCAACCACCCAGGGCTGGGCAGAGAAAGCACTAGATGGGCTGGGATGTCTTGTGAGAGACAGGAATGAAAGGGGCATGAGTAGGGACCAGGACACCAGGACACCAGGTCACCAGCACCACCCACAACACCTGCAAAAGAAACACAGCCAAATACCAATGCCAGACAGTCTGAAATATGACCTCTGTAGAGGACTACTGGCCACCAAGACAAAAGCCTGTCCCCATTTATGTAGTCTAGAGATCTGGCTGCCAGTGCCACATGGAATCCTGAGTAAGAGAGTGCACGCTCAAAGCAGGTGTCTCTATGGGGATATGTACAATACCGCAATCCACATTCAGCCAGGATTAAATTCCGAGTCAGCAGTGGGTGCATAAGAAAAAATCCTGTGTTGAAAGGGAGAGAAAGGGAGATAGGAGGACTCAGTGAGCCTGTGTGCACACTGTGGAGACCTGCTGAGTCTACACAAGAGAATACTCATGTTCAAAAACTTTGCCCTATCCTCAGTTTGAATTCTAAAGATAAAGATGTGGGGTGGGTGGTGGCTCTGTGTGCTAAGGTGCAAGGTCAGGACTGGGTGGAGCAGGATCATTAGCCTGTCTTTGGGCCAGGATTTGAAGCCCAAATGAGCTTGCTCAGCATATCGGGCCAGCCAGTACCCCCAGGGTCCTGGTCTTTGGCACTGTCTTGACAAAACCAGGGATCCTTTCACACCCTGACCCCAGCTCTAGGCCTGTGCCCCTGTGGTAAAGCTGTGGTTGTCACACCCTTGGCCAGGCCAACTCCTAGACTCATAGTGGCCACTGTTGTTATTCAAGCCCTTGAGGCCCAGGTAGGTGGCCTGCACTGTCTCCCAATCTTCACTTCTCAGCTGGAGCCACAGCTGGGAAGTTCTGCAGAAAGATGCAGGAGGATATTCAGGTATACGAATGTCTAGGCTGCCCCCCCGCCCGAGCCTCTACAAGCCACACTGTGAGAATTTGGTGGCCCTGTTCCCACTCCTCAGCTCTGCCACCGGAGGGTGGAAGCAGTCACCAATGATCAGCAGCCAGAACACTCTACTTTCAAAGGCAGGCAGTGGAAAGTTCTAGAGATGGACTGACTCAATGGTAGCACAATACTGTGAATGGAACTAATGTCCTTGAATTCTACTCTTAAATATAATTTAAATGGTAAGTTTTATGTTATAAACATTTTACCACTATTTAAAAAATACTCCCTCAGAATACAATTTATAGTGAAAAAGCAGCTGGCCGTGGACCAGTCTCCACCTGCAGCCTATAGATAATTGCAACTCACCAGCCCTGCACACCCAACACAGCAGAGCACACACTGTGTGCAGACAGACTGTGCTACAGGATGACACAATCACCATACTTGCAGCTCATGTGCCCTCCATGACTGTAATGCTCAATGACCAGAATGCTAAGCTCCAACAGCAGTGGGGAGACCCTAACTGACCTCATCTGCAGCCAGTGTGGGCTGTCAGGGCAGCTCTTGGTAGGGTGATCCCATTCCTCATGCCCCCTGGACACCCTTACAAGGCCTAAAATGGCCTTGGGTGCTAGCACCCCTTGGGTAGTGCTGGGCCAGCTCCTGGCTCTGAGGAGTAGTCAGGGCTCAAAGTCATAGGCACACCTCCTGCAAGGATGCTGGGGCTACTGTACCTATCAAGGTGCTGCTGCTTAGTCCTCTTCAAACACTTCAGGAGGCAATAGGAAGACCATGGAAATGAGCAGGATGATGGCACAGCTGATGATGGAGGCGATCACAGCCACCCTGAATCCGAAGGTCTCATGATCTGTCACAGCTATGGGAGACAAGAACAGCTCCTAGGCATGGCTCACCCAGGCCCTGCAGTGGTTGCCCAGCCTGCCCTCAGTGAGCCCCATTCTGTAGGGGAAGCGGGGAGGTGTTGGCTGCTAAGGCTAAGATCTGTGCACATTGTCATAGGAGTGGGACTGTCAGAGAAGACTTCCTCCCAATAAAGGGGTGTTTGAGTAGAGTTTTGAAGGGTATATAAGAGTTCACAGTGGCACACTGGGAAAAGCTCTGACAGAGAGTTCAGTGAGGCCCCTCTGACTTTCACACACACTGCAGCCTGGGCTCTGAAGGCCAGATGATGGCAGAGAGTTCTCACTCTGCTTTCACAATGCCCCAAGCTGGCAAAGACCTTTAGGGACCCATCCCAAGAAGGCAAAAATCAAGAAAAATGCCCATCTTTGGGGACACAGCCTTTGCCATATATCAACTGTGTGACCTAGGCTATGGGCTAAGAACTAGTTCTATTATGTTCTAAAGGATATTCTGGGAAAACAAGGCCCAGAATCCTAATTTAAGAAATGCCAGCTACTCTCCCCTGCAGCACCGTTCACAACCCCAGCCCCTGGCACTAGCTGGACACTGGCCATTGAGACTGAGGACTACATTTCCCAGCCTCCTTTGCAGCTTCATGTGGTCAAATAACCATGTTCTAGCCAGTGGTTTACAAAAAGAAGGGGTGTGAGACAACTTCTAACACCCTTCTTTGCCCTGACCCTAAACCCATAACTACTGCCTGGAATACAGTTGACATTGCCTGGATCACAGAGTTGAAGTCACACCCAACATAGCCACATCATGGAAAGGGCCTGGGTCCCCACTGTGGGGTACCATATGAGCCTAGGACTGCCTAATCTGAGGGCTATGGATAAGAGAAAACTCCTATAGCTCCTGTTATTTTGGCTAACTCCTGTTATGTTGGGTTTTGTATCTCTAGGAATCTAATCCTAATAGATCCCCTCTTTCTCAGAGATTCACCTAGCACATGAGCATTTAAAGGCACTAAGAAGTCCTGCAGCCTATTAATGTGGCCTTTTCCAAACTGTTGATTACTGAGCCTTTTTTCTTGCATAACACACATGGCCTCCCCTTAAAAAATGCTGTGCTGGGTATTATCCTTTAACACCGTCCACAACAAATAAATAAAAAACCATCTTCTCCCCTAGACTGGGGATCCTGGGCCTGATACATCCTGGCCCTCAGTGTCCCCAGTTCTAGAATTCTTGGCATATGGAATATCTTACTAAGGTTTGCCATGTGCATGCTTAGAGAATAGATAAGTGCCAGCTCAGACAGCACAGGTAACCTCTTAAAAGTGACAGGCCAATTCAGTGACAGACCTAGGATTTGGAGCACCTACTAGAACTTGCATCCACACTGTGGATGTGGAGCCACCAAGGGCCACCAGCACCATGAGCAGGGCCTTACACAGAGGCCCAGCTGGGACTTGGCACTCACCACACCTTTTCTGTGGACACCACACTGTTCATGTGACAGCATCAGGCCCCTCCCACCCAGGGCAACAGCTGATTTGGGGATATCTCCAGGGATCAGGGCTCACACTTGCACACAGGGGCCCCTGAGGATCACTCAGCGATACTCCCCTTCCAAGTATAGGTGAGGAGGCTGGACCCCACCATCTGGTGTCCTGAGGGGCAGTGGAATACAATTACAGTCCACACAGAGGTGCCATCACCATGAAGGACTTGCAGGGTACCCCTTTTGGGTGGCTGCACTTGGGTGCACATACCTAGGGAGAAAGAGATGAGACAGCATGAGGACCCCACCCTGGAAAGTAGGGGCTTGGCAGGAGTCCCTACATGGGACAGGCACCACTGCCCCAATGGCTGTGTGATGCTCTGGAGCTGAACCAGCCACCCAGACCAGGAGTGGCAGCCACAGAGCCAGTGGCCTGGGAACAAATGCAAAACTAATCCCTATATTAAGTGAACGCTCAATATTCTGAGGTCCACAGTGTGGAAAACAGAAACATGCTAGAATATTATTCACCAATATAAACAGTAAAATCTTGCCACTTGCCACAACACTGATGGACCTAGAGGGGATTATAGTAAGGGATATAAGTTAGCTAGAGAAAGACAAATACCATATGATTTCACTTACATGTGGAATCTAAAACACAATACAAATTAATAAACAAAAACCAGAAACAGACCTATAGATACAGAGAAGAAGCTGATGGTGGCTAATAGGGAGGAGAGTTGGGGGATGGGTGAATTTTTGTTTTAAAGACAAACTGATATAAAAAAAAAAACAGAATTTTGAGCAGAGGGTCCTTAGAAAAAGAAGAAATATAACACAAACCTACAAATCAAAAGGTAGATTTTTAGGTATAGGAAAAAAGTAAAAAATAAAATGCATGTGCAAATCTTGGCACACAGGAAAAAATAAAAATAAAAATGTATCATGCATCAAGAGGCAATAAAAGCAAATAGACAATGATTACCCAAGTGTTAGGACAAGGATCTCAAGGTCTGGAAGTTTCTTACTAAATGCTATTCTAGCTATAAATGTTAAAAGATACAATATTTTGCAGACTATCTGTAAACAGAATGACTTTGACAGGAACCCAACCAGTACTGTTTATGTATGCAATGGCTAAGTCTCCCTTTGAGGAGACAGAGCTCTAGAATCTGGTCTCCTTTACTTGCTCCAAGTAAAATCTACCTTGCAACAAGACAGTCACATCTTGTTGTTACAGGTGGACAAGCCTGTACCCTCAGTTCTCGGGCTGGGCTGCAGCAGAGTGTTCTCCTGGAAATGGCTGAGCCTCCACAGCCACTGTCATGTGGTCTGAGGCCCCAAGGGCAGGGAAGCCATGGAGGGAGTAGAGTCAGGGGGAGTCTCCCCCACCAGCTGGGTTGGTGGTAGGGGAAGTTTTGTGGGTTTTTTTAAATTGTTGTTCAAGTACAGTTGTCTCTGTTTTCCTGCCACCAATGGTAGGGAGAGTTTCTTACACAGAGCACACCGAAACCTAGGAAGATAAATGGATGGGGCTCAGCACTACAGCACTAGGGGCTAAAAGGATGAATAGATAGGGCCCCAGCCCTTGGAAAGGTAGAAAGAAGAATGGATACGGAGAAAAGCCCTTGCCCTTGCTATTCTGGTATCAGATTGGGGGTAGGATCAGGGGAAGGCAGGCACATACAAGTCAGAAGGGCAGCAGGGAGTGGTGCTGAACTAAAGAGGCCTGCCAGTCTAGCCTAGAGAAAGAAGAGATTGGTTGGGAGATGGACATACCCAAAGCACAGGAAAGTTTAGGAAGTTAATTGGTCTTTCTGAAAAAGCACATGGCTGGTCCCACACCAGAAACAGATATTGCCCCAGGGGAACAGAGAAATGCATGTTCTCTCTTCCTCATTGCCTACTGCTTGAACCAGCTCTGCTCTTGCTTGTCACTCATTGCTCAGGCTAACTCTGCTCTTGCTCATCACTGGCTACTTGGGACCAGCTCTGCTGTTGCTCACCAGTTGCTGCTCCAGACCTGCACTAGGATAGTGCACTGGCCTGTCCTCTCCATGGGCCACATGATGTTAGCAGTCATGTTGCCCTCAGTATCCAAGAGGGAGTCTCTCTCTCTCTCTCTCCCTCTCTCTCTCTCTCTCTTTCCGTTCTGACCTGGTGAAGCATTCACTGGTATGTTCACATGCTCTCCCTTCCAGAAGCATGTGACTTTCTAGCCCCACAGCCACATGGTCATGGCCATGCCAGCTCCACACATAGCCTCCAGGAGGGAGCCTGAAGCCAGATGGCAGCTGAGAACAAGCTAAGCTACCTGGATGACCACTTAGCAGCTGCCTCAGGCTCCAAAGGATGGTACTTTAAAATGGAGCCGGAATTCTGAGCACTGCCTTTTGTTCTGGTCTTGCTGAGTATGGCAGAGTTTTGTCTGGGTTTTGCAGAGGAAATGAGATTTGAAACGGGGAGTCACCCATTCTCCAAGATGGCACAGCATCCAAATAAAACCTTTTTCCTTTTGAATCAGCACTCACCTCATGAGTTTGGCTTTTGTCGTAACAGACAATTGAACCCCCATTTTTTGCTCTGTAACATTGTTCTTGAGTACAGCAGCATGAGTAGAGCACCCCAAGCAGTGAACCCCTTGAATTTGTTAACACAAGCATAGCTCCAATAACAGAATCAAGAAATAAAAATGAGGGAGAGAGAGCAACAGATGTGATTGTATAAGAAGTAAAAAGCAGAAACCTTTGTTACACCTTAATAACTGAAAACAAATATAAATTTAGATGAAAAATTTTGAAAAAGACAGTTGGAGGATACAGGACAAAGATTCAAACCTTAGTTTATAAAGATATCTTATACATCCATAAAAGCTGAACATCCAAATAAAAAAGAACAGATTGATGTGTGGGCAAGCATTTTACAAAAGAGATAGTCAACACACATGGAAAAAAATCTTGCCCTCACAATAACTGAAGAAACACCAATTCAAATTAATGCAAATCTTTTACTCCTCAACTTGGCAAAAAGAAAAACAACAAGCCAAGTGCAGAGTTAGCAAGGTCCTGGGAACAACTTCTCTGGGACTTTGCTGATGGGTGCAGATCCAAACCTTCTGGATGGACTTTGGTAAATGTAAAAGCTAAAACTTTAAACCTTTTAGAAAAAAAGCATAGGGCTTGGATTAGGCCATGGTTTCTTATGAAAAACCAAATAACAATAACAGAAAATAAGCTGGGCTTCATTAAAGTTGAAAACATTTGTACTTAAAATAATGTGATCAAGAAAGTGAAAAGGAGGCTGTGGCCAGGTATCTCAGTTGGTTAGCACTTCCTCCTGATACACCAAGGTTGTGAGTTCAATCCCAGATCAGGGCACATGCAAGAATCAACCAACGAATGCATAAAAAGATGGAAAAACAAACTGATGTTCTGTTTGTCCCTTTCTCTCTCAAAGTTAATAAATAAAACTCAAAAAATAAAAGAATATTTTTTAAATATGAAAATGTTTACAGACTGGAAGAAAATATTTGCAAATCATATATCTCATAAGGGACTTGTATCTAGAATGTATAAATTATTACAACTGAATTCTAAAAGCACAAATAACCCAATTTAGAAACAGCCAAAGTTGCTAACTAGACATTTCTCTAAAGGTTTACTGATGGCCACCAATATGCACATAAAGAGATGCTCAACATCATCAGCTTCAAAGAAATGCAAACCAAATCCACAGAGCCTCTTTCACCTCCACTGAGTTGGCTGTACACAGAAAAGGCAGCTGTACTAAGACTGTGCAGAGACCTAGCTGTCACATGCTGCAGGGGGTGGAATGTAAACCCGGGCAGCTGCTTGGGCAATTTCTCCAACAGTTACATGGAGCATTACCATAGGAGGCAGCAACACCCTTCCTAGAAATATAAGCAAAAGAAATGAAAACACATGTCTACACATGAAGTTATATACAAATGTTCACAGCTCTATTAGTCACAGCAGCCAAGAAGCAGAAATAACTCAAATGTCCATCTACCAACAAATGGATAAATAAAATATGCCCCAACCATACAATGGAATATTATTTGGCAATATAAAAACATGAAGCTCTGACACACACTACAACGTGGAGGAACCTTCAAAACATTTTGCTCAGTGCATGAAGCCAGTCACAAAAGACCACATATCTTACTATTCCATTTACGTAAAATGTCCAGAAAAGGCAAATCCAGAGGCAGAAAGTAGATTAGTAGTTGCTGAGGGGTGGGGGAAGGAGAAGTGACTGTGCTGAGGGGCATGAATCTTCTTTCTGCAGTGATAACAATATCTTAAAATTGATGGTGGTGATTGATGGTTGCACATATCAATGAACGTACTAAAAGCCATTGAGCTGTACATATTTAATGTAAAATTTAAATGGGTGACTCATATGACATGTGATTTATACCTCCATAAAGTTGTTAGAAAAACTGAGGAAAAATATATATGGCAAGAAAATGTAAATTTGAAACCTAAAATACTGTTTTTGGTCTCTTAGCTTGTTCAGGATTAAAAAGACAAATAGCCCACCAGATTGGTAAGGGTCCAAGGGAGGAGTATATAACCCTGGGGTGGAGGGCAGGGAGGGCCTGAGAGGCTATCTCACCCTACAGAAGTAGGAGCGGGGTAGGGGGTGGCAGCTGAGCTGGGTGCCCCAGGCAAGCAAGCTAACTGAGAACTCCTGTGCCCCCATCTGGACATTTCCAGGAACCTGCCCTCACCCTCACTGTCCTGAGGGCCACCCACCACTCCACGGTATACTGGGATGCCAAATCTGAGCCTATTCTCTGGGCTCTTAATTAACCACCATGTCCTCACAGGGGCCAAAGCAGGAGTGAGTGAATGCATGCAAGAATGAATGAATATATGGATGGATGATCTAATAGATGAGAGCTATGATTAGTACTACCCCAAGAAGAACCTCCTTTCTTTTCCAGGATCTGTGGACTTGAACATGTGTTGTCCTTCTGACCAGGATGGTAGACATGGGTTTGGAACAGGGTAAACAAAGCAGGGCAGCCATAGGCTGGCCACGTGGTCCCTTTCCCAGGATTACCAGGAAGACAAAACTTTCCAGTCCTCAATTTAGAGCTGTAATTTCTCCATTTTTCTGTAGCTAAGCATCTTTTTTTTTAGTGTACATTTTTAATACAATCTTATATTGTTTTAATACAATCTTATATTGGTCTTATTAGTTTCAGAAATACAATATAGCAATTTGACATTTTTATACCTTACATGTGATCACCCCATTAATTAATTCCAGTAATTATCTGTCACTGTGCAAACTTACCACAGTATTATGGACTATATTCCCCTTCCCTTTTTCATCCATCCTCCCACCCCCTCCCTTCTGGAAACCATCCCTTTGGTCTGTTTCTATGAGTCTGTTTTTAGATTTGATATGTAAGTGAAATCATATGCTATTTGCCTTTCTCTGACTTATTTCATTTAGCATAATACCCTCTATATCCATCCATGTTGTTGCAAATGGCAAGATTTCATTTTTTTTCTAAGTCAAAATAATATTTATTCGATAATTACCAAGTATAGGCACTGCAGAGAAAAAACTGTTCCAAAAGATATAGAAAAGATTTTTTTCAAGTACAGTTTTTTGTCTATTTCTCCCATCCCAGCCTCCCCAACCCCGTGCTCCCCACCTCTCTCCCATTTCCACCCCCCTTAGTTCTCATCCCTGTGTCCTTCCTATTTGTTCCTCCAAATCCCTCCCCCCTTTTCCCCTTAAATTCCCTTCCCTCTCCCCTCTGGTCACTGACCCCTTGTTCTCTATTTCAATGTCTTTGTTTCTTTTTCTGCTTGCTTGTTTGTTTTGTTGTTTAGCTTCCTGTTAAAAGTAAGATCATATAGTATTTGTCTTTCAACACCTGGCCTATGCATACTCAGCATAATGCTTTCCAGTTCCATCCATGTTGTTGCAAAGGGTAGGAGCTCCTTCTTTCTCTCTGCTGCATGGAATTCCATTGTGTATATGTAGCACAATTTTTGGATCCAGTCATTTACTGATGGGCACCTAGGTTGCTTCCAACTCTTGGCTATTGTAAATTGTGCTGCTATGAACATTGTGGTGCATAGGTTCTTTGAAATTGATGTTTTAGGATTCTTAGGACATAATCCCAGCAGTGGAATTGCTGGGTCAAAAGGCAGGTCGATTTTTATTTTTCTGAGAAAATTCCATACTGTTTTCCATAATGGTTGTACCAGTCTACAATCCCACCAACAGTGAACTAAGGACCCCTTTTCCCCACACCCTCTCCAACATTTGTTGTTTGTTGCTTTGTTTATGGTAGCCATCCTGACCAATGTAAAGTGGTATCTCATTGTGGTTTTAATTTGCATCTCTCTGATGGCTAGCGATATTGAGCATCTCTTCATGTGTCTCTAGATGTTCTGTATGTCCTTCTTGGAGAAGTGTCTGTTCAAGTCCTTTGCCCATTTTTTAATTGGGTTGGTTGTCTTCTTAGAGTGGAGTCGTGTAAGTTCTTTGTATATTTTGGAGATTAAACCTTTGTCTGAGGTATCATTGGCAAATATGTTTTCCCATACAGTTGGTTGTCTTTTTAATTTAATACTGTTTTCTTTAGCCATGCAGAAGCTTTTTATTTTGATGAGATCCCATTTGTTTATTCTTTCCTTTATATTCCTTGCTCTAGGGGACATATTGGTAAAAATGTTGCTGCGTGGAATATCTGAGATTTTCTTGCCAATGTTCTCCTCTAGGACTTTAATGGTGTCACGGCTTATATTTAGGTCTTTTATCCACCTTGAATTTATTTTGGTATATGGTATCAGTTGGTGCTCAAGTTTCATTTTTTTGCACATAGCTGTCCAGTTCTTCCAACACCATTTCTTGAAGAGGCTATCTTTACTCCATTTTATCTTACTGCCCCCTTTGTCAAATATTAATTGACTGTAGAGAGTCGGGTTTATTTCTGGGCTCTCTGTTCTGTTCCATTGGTCTATGTGCCTGTTTTTGTGCTAGTACCAGGCTATTTTGATTACAGTGGCCTTGTAATACAGTTTGATATCAGGT